CTCTAGGAGGGCTGTGGGGATTTTACAATCCCGAAACAAGCTCCACAAGGCCAGACGTTCTGTCTTGGAGCAACCCCCCTGGCCTTTCAGCCGCACCCACTATCGGTCCCGAAACACCCCGAGCCCGCGCGGTGCCCAGGCATGCGGGGACGGACACGTCCATCCCAGCCCCGCTCAGCCGGTTTCCTTTTTCTTGCAACTCTCTAAGAGCTCGGTCATGAAGGAAATGTAGACGATGGCCAGGCGTAGGGTCTCGATCCGGGACAGCCTCTTCTCGTAAGCAAAAGTGGGCACCTTCCTCCGCAGCTGGTCGAAGGCCTCGTTGAGGTTGAACATCCGCTTCCTCTCGCGGATGTTGGCGGCCTGGCGCTGGGCGTAGGTGATCACCCTTTTCCTCTTGGGGCGGCCCAGCAGGGAGGCGCCTCTCTCCTGCTCGTCTTCCTCCTCCTCCTCCCCTTCCTCTACTTCGCCCTCCTGTTCTGGGTCCTCCTCCTCAAAGCGCGCCAACCTCCTGGGTCTTCCCTCTTGGAGCACAAGGCCTCGGTCCCCAAAGGGGACCTCAGGCGCAAAGTCGCAGAGGAGTGGGTGCCCGGGGGAGGCGAAGGACAGATCTGCGACAAAGTCCAGCACGGTGGCGTCCACGCAGCTCTCCGAATAGGCCGCCATCGCGTCCTCTTGGCCCTGCGTCTCATCGGTTTCTCGCTGGGAGGGGAGAGACTGGTGATAGGCTTCCTAACAGCCCCGAATCTGATGCGACACCATCACCGAAGGGCCAGGGGACATTAATATTTATAACCAAACTGATAACAGGATTAGTCGCACCATTGGGGAAGGCTATGACGACGTCCCTCCTCTCGAAACTGATGGAAGGAGACAAGCTCCAGCGCGTGTGGAAGACTCATAGGGACAGGCCTCCAATTCTGAGCTCCATTTCGCTGCGCCACCTGGGACAGTTCCTTCTTGGCAACAACCCCCAGCTCTTACCTGCTGTGCTTTTTGTCTCTCCGTAGCCCTGCGGCCAACTAATAGTCTTCAGGCTTCTTATCTCATGTCGTTCTTTAATTTAGCTTGCTTTGGCTTTTCAAAGCCAGGATATTTTCCACCACTCTGGCTTCACCTTGGCTTCGGAGTAGGAGTCCTGAATTTTGCCACCCGACGCTTGCCAATGAGTGTGGAACAAGTGCATGTGCTTTTAATGATGTCCTGAAGAGGGGCCCTGTCTGCCAGGGGTCGAGGGGAGCTGTTTGTCTGGTATCCCGGTGAAGCGGCTACTGAAAGGCAAGCTCTTCCATCAGCTTAAGTAAGCACAGTAGGGGGGCCGAGAGCGCATTCCCCGGAGTCGCTGTTGGAACCGGCTTTCTCCTTCCACGGCATCGTAAACATCTCTCCTGCCGCGTTACAAGTTACAAACCCTGACTTCTAAAGTGTGTTTTGTTATTACCGGCCGAACAATTCAGACACTTGACTTTCCTTTCCCTACCCTCATCTCCAACTCATGTAAAGGAGAGGATTTTACTTCGAGGGCAAAAGTTATGATGGCAATAAAATGAAAAGGGGAGGCTCAGCATATTTTCTCCGAGCTTTGTTTAGTGTATAATCCCAGCGGGGTGGGGGTGGGGGCCAAAGCAAACCCTCCCCACCCCCAAACAAAACAACTTCACTCTCCTTTCAAAAATGCGATTTACCTTTTGGTAAACCAATGGGTCCATAAGCTCACCCTCTGTTGAGAAATCTTTCGAGTTTTAAATTGGTTATCAGTATTTGTGAACAAAGAAAAATCCTTGACGCTTCCACGTGACTTATTTCCCTCATTGATCTGTACCGCCCTACAAGACACAAGAGCGGAAACTATACTGAATTCTATTAAAAGGAGATTTTTGGTTATCCTTAGATCATTTTTTAAGATGAAAAGGAAGATTTTAATTTGGTATAATGAAAATGAAATTTTACCGATTTCACATTATCTTTAATGTTTTAACAAAGAAGGGTTCATTTTTTCCTTCTTTGATTGCCAGTAGCTGTATTTATTTAATTATTCAGTGTAGGGGATTTTTAAGAAGACACGGTAAGGCAGAACAACTTGTTAGAAAATAATTTTAAAGATGTATTAGAAGAAATAGCCAAAAAGAAAAAGGAGCAAAGAGACACCTTGATTCATGGGAGAATAACCCTATACACCAATTCTTATTAAGGAGGTGAGTTGTGACTAGGACGGTTCAGTTGGTACATTGGACAGCTCCCGGAAATCGCCTCTTTCTAACAGGTAAGCACAATTCCTTCTTCCTAGATTCCCAGTGTGTACACCTAGATACCATTAAAGCAGCACAGTCTAGAATTCTTCTTTTTCTTCCTTTCTTTCTTTTTAACCCAGTTGTGTCTGAGCTCCCTTGCTCTTTTGTCCTTCAACTGATTCTCTTTTTCCTAGCTTCTGTTTACTCTTCATTCTCTAACTTGCTGTGTGATAACTAAGGCAGAGAAGAATTCAAATTTACTTTCTAAAACATGTTAATGAGAATTAGGTCTTTTATGATTATCTATTTGGTTTTTACTAATCTTTCAAAAGAGAGACTGAAAAATGCAAATGATTTGGAATTTCAACAGTGGCTAAGGAATAAGTAAATGAGAGAATTAATTTTTGTTTTGACAAGCAGTAACATGCTTTTTAACTCTTGTATAACTTAATGTATCTTTACATATTTGGACAAATTTTATTGTTGATTTTTAGTTGTTAAATGTTTCTCATGTCTTCCTTTTTTCCTTTCAATGCATACATAAATGGATTAAATACCTCATTTGTTTCACACATATTGTATTAAGACAATTAAGGAAAACATGATAAAAATTAAATTTAAGGTTTAATAAAATAGGTGTCAGGAGCTATCAGGAGACTCTAAAGAAACACTTTCCTTGGAATAAAACTCTTTATGATTTTATCCAAGGTAATGAATATTCCAACAAGCATACCACAAAAGAAACTAGCAAAATTAATGAAACCAACATGTTTGGGTTCAAATATTAACATTAAAATATTGGGAAATTTATAAAAGTGTCTAAATAGGTACATTTGTAGCAATAATTTTGAAATACTTTCTCTTCAATTTCATCATAAAATCCCAAGATAAACACTTCTGTTTATACCACAGTAATTTTAGTTTATCTTACAAGGTTCTAATCATGGTGACATAATTAGAGCAAAAATATTAAAATCTAGGTTATAATGATTGACTCTATTTTTTTGTTTATTATAATTAAGAACATAAATAAGTGAAATTGTTTTTCTCTGCTTATTTTAAAACATTCGCTTTGTTTGCAAAATGTTTTTGTGGCTATTTGGTTCCACAGTAAATATAAGTAAATGTAGTAAATGTCTAAAGGACTAAATGGTTTTACACAGTTTATCCCAGTGGAAGGAACTATTATTTTCATTTCTAGATTTGAAAGTTTAAAGAGAAATATTTAAAAAAACAACAACAACTGAAGCTTAAAGGAGGTAGATTCCTACTTGTCTCCTTTCAGTTCTAGACCTATCAGTTATAATTTTTCAGTGACCTACATAGAGGCTTTTGTAGAGAATTTGATAAACTCCACAAATTTTGCTCAAGATGTTTCAGGAATGGTCATGAAATGACAGCTTTGCTTATTACCTTTTTAACTCTATCGGTCATCCTAATTAAACATTAAACTTTTTTTTTGTTTTTAAAGATTTTTATTGGGGAATTGGGGGGATGGGAACAGTGCTGGGGAATTGGGGGAAGGGGAACAGACAAGTTGCTGTCCTTTTGTTCTTCAGTCTAGTTGTGGAGGATGTTGCTTCACTGGCCCAAGTTGGCACCATCATTGCGCTCTTCCCGGGCGAGGCAGATCAGTTGCCGGCTTCAGGACAGCTGCTCACTGCGGCTGCTGGCCGCTCACGCTGGCTGCCGGCTACATACGGTAACCTATGGCAACTCACTGCAGCAGTGGCTGCAGCCTGTGCTGTCGCCGGTGACTCACGGCAGTCCAGCTCCAGGTTGAGCTGCTGTTCAGCATCTTAGCTGTAGAGGGCAGTGTCACTGGCCCTCATATGTGAGATCCGAACCGGGGCCCTCTGGCATCCCAAGCCAGCTCTTAACCACCGCGCCACTTGGCCGGCCCAAACATTAAACATTTTGTGTACACTATTTTCTTGCATTCAGATTCAAAGCAGAAAAAACAAATGACCAAGAAATACTTGAGCAATAATTCTTAAGGGAGCTACAGGGTGACATGAAGAGTGGTAAGGAGAGAAAGGTAGATAAAAAAGTGTCCAGGGAGTAAAGCAAATACCCAACTCTCCCACATGTGTTAAACCCTTCTTTTCCCTCCCTTTTTCATGCCCCTTCTTTTATTCTTACAGAATCATTAAGCAATTTTAGGAAAAATGTTAAATAGGACAAAAGTAGGTGTTTGTCATGTTTGTAGGGAGGAAGGTCTAAGAAATATTCCCTTAGCTGACACAATTTCAAGTTTTGTATGGTTTATGGACATGACTGACTTAGAACTGCAAGAATATATATGCCTCTACTTTAGTTTTCTGTGAGAGGTAAACTTTTTTTGAAGTTGAGTACATGTATTTAAATGTTAATAAATTATATATGCGCAGCTTAATGAATTTTCATAAAATAAACATACTCATGAAACCAGTGCCAAAATCAAGAAATAGGGTGCTCTACTGAAATTGGAGATAATTTAAAAACACATAGATCTTAAGTGTATAGCTGAGCCTATTTCAGCCTCCCCTTCAACCTGGTACCCATATCCAGTCTCAAGCCACTCTCCAAAGCACCACTCTCTGAGGTATTAGTCCTGACTTCTAAGATTAATTTAGCCAGTTTTTTGAGCATATATAAAAAGTAAACTATATTCTGCGTGCTCTTTTGTGTCTTTCACTCAACATTTTTTTTATGCTAAGCATGCATATTATTCTCATTGCTGAACAGTGTTTCACCGTGTAAATATACCTTCTACTGTTGATGAGCATTTGGGTAGTTTTTGGTTTTTAGCTACTACAAATTGCAGTGCTGTGGATATTGTACATATCTTTGGTGAGAACATTTATGCATTCTTGTTCAGTATACGCCTAGAAATGGAAGAGGTTATATATGTATTCAGGTTTAGTAGTTGCTGATAAATCGTTTTCCATAATGGTTGTAACAATTTATACTGTCACCGGAGATGGATTAGAATTACAGTTTCTTCACATATCGTCAACAGTTGGCATTTTCAAGCTATTCTGAAGACATGCATTGTGGTTTTGATTTGCATATCCCCGATGACAAATGATCTGCTTTTTAAAATATTAGTGTTAGCAGGCTCTAGGTGAATGCCATGTAACAAGGCATAATTAAGGAAGAAGCAAAGTTCCTGGACAGAGCAGGCATCTGCTTTGTGAGGTGCTTCTCATTGTCAAAACCCATTTGTTCAATAAAGACGGCATCTGCTTCAAGAGGCTAACCCTTTCCTCCCTCGTTTCCACCCACACCACCTTCCTTTTGCCCTAGATAGTTGTGGCAGAAACTGCTCATAGCTCTCCGGTATGTACTTATTCTGTTTCCTTTTAATAATAGACTCACCCACACGTACTTTAGCTGGGCACATTTCTGTCCCATTATATTCACGCCAATGGGATAAATGAGAAGTGAAATGTG